TTGCCAGCAGGTTGTCCATAGAGATTGCCTGTGTTCTGAAACTCGCTTGGCTGATAGCAGCTGGATAGAAATCAGACTGCCTCTCTCACGACAGGACAGAGCCTGGGAGTGCAGACAATCTTAGGTTCAAGTCACAGCCAAGCTTCTGGGTGCTGAATCAGCCACCGTCTTGCAAGCCCATCTAATCAGTTTCCTGGTAGAAAACAGCTGTACTACCAGAGTTGGAAGCCCCTAGCCAGTCACTATCAGTTCTAAAAGAGCACCCCTTGTCCTCTCTTCAGTGGGTTAGCCGTAGTAGCCTGCCAGGGTGATAGCACTGGAGTTTTGCACTTAATGTGAGGGAGTCATAGAAAGCCATGACAGATACTGCCACCTCCCCGCCGTGGAAATTCTGGATTACAAATGTGAATGCTTTGGGTTAGTCAGTTTGTTTAAAACCAGTATCATGGTCACAAGCAGTGTTGATGCTAACCTTTCACAAGAAAGTAGAAAAGGTCCCTTGTTCCCCGGTACAGAGCTTCTGCTATTGAAGAACTCCAGCTGCCCTTTCAAACTTTTTTCCCCTCTGATAAACCCTGTTTCTTTTCTTTTGTTACCATTGCTATTGAAAACATACACTCAAAAACACACCAGCTCCGCATGTACAATTCATCAGTATTGATCACATTCTTCACACACACCCCTAAATTTTCCCTCCCTTATTAACATGGGCTCACCCCACCTCCCCCAAGGTTTTTTTGTAATCATTCTAGTGGTGGTTGTCAATTCGATACCATATCGCTACTTCGTGAAAGAGCCTCATGCTCAAAGGCGGACATTTTTTCACTAGTCAAGCTATTGTTGGATCTTTCTAAGACATTGGGGATATTTTGGATTTAAGGTTTAAAGATCATCTGGGAGCAATAGTTTCAGGGGTTCACCCAGCCTCCGTAGCTCCAGAAAGTGTGGCATCCGGCAGAGTTTTAAATTCTGTGTTTCGCCCCTCTTGAGCAGAATTATTCTATCGAATCTTTCCTCAAATGCTCAGTCATGGTAGCCTGTACTATACTTTTGCTGCTG